GACTGCTAGCCTCCTCGGATGCAGCCTCTACTCGGCTGCTGTAACACTCCTTCCGCTGAGCATACTCTCTCTCTTTCGCCAGCCGGAATTCTCGGGCCAGCCTTGTGTTTCGCTCGGCCGTGACCTGGTTCCAGATCACCCGGCGTACCTCCATGGGTAAATCATCCCCATACTGGGCCACTCGCTGCCTCACCTCGGCCATCCAATCATCACCAGACCCTTCCATACTTGTCTGCTCCAAGTCGCTGGATACCTCTGCTCCCAGGGGCGCTGCACGTGTGCTCGCGTTGCCCTCAATTTGTAACTCCACGAATGGTGTCTCTGAGCTGCTTTACCTCGCCCTAGGACGCCATCCCACCGCTTGCCACCAATGTAACGGATCACCTGGCACCCCGACTGGGTACCTCCGTTGCTCCTAGCGCTTCCTGAGGACTCCAAGCACTGCAGCAGACACCACAACCACCGAACCGGAGAAGCATATGAATCCTCTCAAGCATTTGAATGCTGTAGACAGTTGAATAGGAACCATACGAATAGGTTTACTCTCCTAGCAGTCAAACTGGAACAGCATGCAATAAATCCTTCCCCCAATAATGAGACGACACTTCACTTTGAGGGTTAAACAGGAACTCCCTGTACTGTCACATACAGTCTCTTTTATTCCCAATCCACAAACATAGTACAGCCCACAGGGCGTTACAAAACAACCAATCAATCCGTACAACACACCCAGACACTCCCACACAAAATCCTCCCCTCTGCATGTGATATGATTACTGAACACAATGGGTAATCTCATTATCACCGGCAGAGGAATACAGTTTTTACACAATATTTATAACTTCTAAAATATAAATGTCACAAACATAAAACATACATTTGCATAATCAATCCATTCAGGGGAACAACATATTAAAAAATGGCACGAATCAGACCAGGGGTTCAAAAGTTAAGGGAAAGTCCTTTGTGACTAAATGAAGCATGGCTTTCTGGCCCAAACTAGTTTCAGAGTCTTCTATCCTGGAGAGTAATTCAATTATCTCCCAGGACAGACACAAGACTCCATTAAGCACATGGTTGCAAAAAGACACAAAACACTTTAAAATACATAAAGTCACTTTTTACACATAAGACACAGACATTTCACATATCCCCAGATAGCTGGCATCTGAGCGCACAAAACTACCGAATAGCGCTCAAATCCTATTCACACAGTTCAATTGCCATGGAGCCAAAGTCTTTAACTACACAAATGGGCTCCATGGCATAGCTATCTGGGTTAACACATTCACATAAAGTCTGGTCCATAGTCCAAAGGCAAGAGGCGGGCAAGCAGCCCCCTCCAAGGACACGTGGCGAGGCCGGTTTCGCCACAGTGAGGAAGATTGCTAAAGTATGTGGAATTACCGTACCTCTGTGCGGCAGATTGTAGCCAGAGAGCTGGCGTAAGTTACTGACAGAGAAGAAAGGGAAGCTGTCGGACCACGATTTGGTTCGTACAGCAGAAGCCTGGTACCGAGTAGTAAGAGCTATTCAGCAAAAGGGATAGGTTGAGGAAGAAATTGATCACAAAGGTTTAAGATTGTTTGTGTATTATAATAATTGTGTTACTGGGAAGTCCTCCCAGCCAGCGCCCTATGATGGCGCCCAGGAGGTGACCACTCCCAACATCGCGTCAGCAATGACCGAAATGTAGCTGACCATGGTCCCCACCCCTGGTCCCCACCCTACCACCACCCCTGTTTGCCCAGTCCTGAATGCTGATGGAACCCTATTCTCCCCCCCCTATCAGTCCTAGAGATCTCGTCACCCTCATGCTCTCTCTGCAGCTCCCTGCACCTCCAGTCCGTTTCTCCCGTCAAAGATTTCTGGTTTCCAAACGTATAAGTCTCTGTCCTTCTGTCTTGTTACTTTACAGCACTCACATAGTTAACCTTCATGCCTGCAGTCTCTCTCTCTTCCCTTTTTGCACTGTCTCACTTTCTCCCCCCCCCTCCTCCCCGCTTGCCTACATTTCTGCATTTCGGAGCTACTGATAAGAGTTAGAGACGGGATTTTTGCTGGAAAATATTCTAATTCATAGGTTATGGTGTTATAATTGTGTAATAATATTATTATTGTTGCCGTTTGCATGGCGCCGGCAGATTCCACGGTGCTATATATATATATAAATTGTGTTTTGTGATAAAGTAGTGAGGATTGTGGGGGAGACACAAGAATGTAGCTCAGTATTGATTACGGAGGTTAGGTAAGTGAATCTGATACAAGAATAGAGGAATATTTGGACGTGTTAAGTGTAAAGGCAAGCGTGATTTGTTGCAAAACTATGCAATGTGGATAGAGGGAATATGCGAAGTTGTTAAGCTAGTATGTGAAGAGGAAAGTGATTAATGGTTGGAGGATGATAAGGGAAATTGGTTGAATTCCGTGAGTTTATCTTGCATCATTTTAAAGAACATGTTTCTAGAGACAGCTGTATGGGCTGTTAAATGCATAATGTTTTCAACTGTCTTATTTAACCTGTCAGGTTTATTTATAGTTTAGTATTTAAATCTCGGAACTGACTTATTTTATTAGTTATAATATAGTGTATTGTTGAAAGTGTGTCAGCCACCACCCTAAAGATGGCGCCTAGTACAGAAGGAGGTTGACCCTGCCAGTCCCGTGACCTATCTATAGTCACGGTTGCTTCTAAAGTGACGTCACTTCCGCCCTTACCATGCCCACACCTCCTGTCTTCCTTTCCCACACCTATCATGGACATCACCTCACTTCCTCCCTTGCTGTCATTTCCTTCCCCGCCCCTGTCATGGCTGCCTCCATCATGAGGCCTACCCCTATTATGCTCGTCCTATTTAGAGACATGTTGTTTTCCTTACACTCTACATATTATGAACAGAAACATTATAATTGCTAACACAATCATGCCATTTGTTTCCCTGTATCAGAAATGTGTCCGTGATAAAAAAAAAAAAGAAAAAAAAAAAGGTTGCTAAAATGTAATTTGCAACTGTGGTGTGACCTACAAATGAGATCTGTTGGACACGAATATAAGAGCATAACAGCTGATTATCCAGATTAATCTTGCAACAAGGGAAATAGCCAAATAATGCAAGTTATTTTAAACATTGTATCTTTGCTTAATCGAATCTTGCTAGTTACAGATCGTATGTTTACAGTAACATCCTTTACGTTAAATGGTGGTTTAGCATTAGAAGGATTAGTGACATGTTTTATTAACCCAGCCACTACTGGTTATTCATTTTAGTTACAGGGTGGTATAATTGTTATGGCCTAATTAATATAAATGATAGTACCGCAATAGTTAATGTTTTATCCAAAGACATATAGGAACTTTACTTCACTTACTATTAACCATTATTTATAATGATAGACATGTTCAGACTGCAAAAAGCTATGGCTAATGACATAGAAAGGGGTTAGAGTCAGTAACACAGCCCATACAGAGGAGAGCAAACCCGCTGATGCTTAATGCCCCTGCCATGGCAGTGTCTACAGGGAACAAGGGGGGGCCACTAGCCACAGTAGTTCTACCCGTTGAGGGTCATCCCACTACTTTCCTGGTTGACACAGGTGCAGCCCGCAGTGTTCTTAGAGAACAAGACCTGCCTGACTCATCGTTCCTGTCTGGCACCGATGTCTCTTGTGTTGGTGTTGATGGTATTTCCCGCAGTAACCTGTCCATGTCCCATTAACCTCTTGGGTGCTGATGTCCTATCCCGCCTCCAAGCATCCATGACCCTCACTGCAGACGGCCAGGTTCAATTAAATACACCTTTGTCACCAAAAGACACTACAGTTCTTTGTTACCTTCCCATTTTACTTGGAGATAACATCCCCACGACAGAAAAATGTTCTCTGGACCTCCTTTGTTATCTTGCAGATCAGGGGTGTAAGGCATCTCTTGTCAAACTTCAATTTTGCCAGGCCACAGTAATCTTTCTCTTAAATCAGACCCGTTCTGTCTGTCCTCAGAAGCACATAACAACTTCTACACTCTCCAACGTGCTATTGCCTCTGCTCCCACCCTTGGCTTGCCAGATTACACCAAACCATTCAAATTATTTGTGTCTAAAAGACAAGGCCACGCTACAGGAGTCCTTACTCAAGCCCATGGACCTGGCGGCCGCCAAAGGCCTATTGGCTTCTTCTCTTGCCAACTGGACATTGTGGCTAGAGGAACCACCTCTTGCCTCCGAGCTGTTTTTGCCGCTCAGGAACTCATCAACCGCACTGGGGACCTGGTTCTTGGCCACCCTCTGACTGTTTTGGCACCTCATGATATTTCTGCCATACTTAACCAGGTCCAACTCAAACATGTCACCCCTGCCAGGCACCTTTGTCTCCAATGTCATCTCCTGTTACCTGACAATGTTACCCTTCAAAGATGTCAGGTTCTGAATCCATCCACTCTTCTGCCACTCCCTGAGGGGGGGTAGCTACTATGGATTTACCATGGCTCGGGCCCATGGCAAAACTATGGGCCAGCATGGATGAACCACAGCTCCAAGAAAAAGGCGTTGTCAAGTACCCAACAACTGAACATGTAAAAGCATGGCCACGGTACTTTCTGGAAGAAGAATTTGAAGATCTGGTCATAAAGCACGACTATGATCCAGAAACGCCCCATAACTGTGTTGAACAGATGAAAATGGAAACAACACATTTGCCAACCGTGCATGAGGATCCACTAATAGATCCTGACCTCACCCTGTTTGTGGACGGCTCAAGGTATGCTGATGAAGAAGGAAAATATCACACAGGATATGCCGTCACCACAACAGATAAAATTATCAAGTCATCATCTCTACCATCAACAATGTCTGCGCAGGAAGCTGAATTACAAGCCCTAACTTCAGCATGCAAGATATCTGAAGAAAAGCGCGCCAATATCTACACAGATTCAAGATATGCATTGGGCGTGGCTCATGACTTCGGATTAATTTGGAAAACAAGAGGATTTCTTACCACTGCCGGTACACCAGTCAAGCACAGTTCTACAATCAAGGAGCTGATGGATGCCCTCCTACTCCCAGAAGGAGTGGCTATTTTGAAGATAAAAGCACATGGGAAGTTGGACTCAGATGAAGCAAAGGGCAACCATCTAGCTGATCAGGCTGCAAACCAAGCTGCAAGAGAACCACAGGAAGTGGAAAGAAGAGTGTCCAGAAATGAAGAAACTCCCATATTTACTCTGCAGACTCTTCCAACTGACCTGAAAATCCTACGGGAACAACAGGCTACAGTTGCCCCTGAAGAAATACAGAAGTGGAAACAGAAAGGGGCAGTTCTAAGAGATGGAGTGTATTACAACAATCTCAGATTCTGCCTTCCTAAGAATCTATACCCAGCAGTTGTTCAGTGGGCACATGGCCCTGCACACTTATCAAAAGATTTGATGATTGCCCTTGTACAGAAGTACTATGAGGCCCCTGGAATTACCACACTAGCCAGCAATTACTGCAAGACGTGTGTCATCTGCGCCAAGTGCAATCCGGGAAAAATGGCTAAAGTCCCTCCAAAACACTTGGCCAAGCCCATGTACCCGTTTCAAAGAATTCAGATAGACCACATCCAGATGCCAAAGAGTGGCAACTTCGAATATGCACTAGTAATAGTGGACATGTTCTCAGGCTGGCCAGAAGCCTACCCAGTGGTTAACATCACCGCAAAAACAACAGCAAGACGGCTACTTACAGAAATTGTATGTAGATTTGGATTACCAGAAGTCATTGAAAGTGACCAAGGCCCAGCTTTCACAGCATCAGTAACCAAAGAGATTTAGGCCGCCCTAGGAGTGACCCTTGCCTTCCACACACCTTATCACCCACAAAGCAGTGGTAAGGTGGAGCGTATGAATGGCACCCTGAAAACTAGAATGCTAAAAATGTCGCAAGAAACAAAAATGCCCTGGCCCGAAAGCTTGCCAATAGCCCTGTTTAGTGTCAGACATACACCCAGAGGGAAGCCCTCATTGTCCCCATATGAGATTCTATTTGGGACTGCACCTAGGCTAGGTTGCTATTTTCCCCAACAACTACAACTTCAAACTGATGTTTTAGTAGATTATGTAACTGAACTCGCAAATGCTTTAAACAAAATCCATGCCCAAGTTTTCTCTTCAATTCCAGATCCTGATTCTGATACGGGCAACCACAGTCTGCTCCCTGGTGATTGGGTCCTAGTCAAGAAATTTGTGCGGAAACACACCCTGGAACCAAGATTTGACGGACCATTCCAAGTTCTACTGATCACCTCCACCTCATTCAAGTTGGCTGGGAAAAGCAACTGGATACACGCCTCCCATTGCAAAAAGGTTCCTGTCCCAGAGGAAGCAGACTCCTCACAAACATGTTGTAGCAGATGGCACCAGGCGACCCTACAAGAAATACTGTATAAAGCTGCATACGTGTATCTGCTGTAATTTCTGTGTATTTAAAAAGAATTGTATTCCTCTGATTGTTCGGTAGTTTCATTCCCTTAGTTTATTCGAATGAAACTACCGAACAACCAGACCTCCCTGTGTGAAGTGTGTCCCCAATTACCCGTTGCAACATTGTTGCGAACGGGTAATTGAACAGTAAGTAGCCGTCCTTTGTTCTCGGGGGTGGCCGCCATTCGACAAACGAACACGTGGCGGCGGCCATTTTAAAACTCCCGAACAGCGGTGTTTTGCCGTCGAGTGCCTGGAACTAAAATCGGACACTCGAGTAGGCGAACACCGCTGAGTCCTCCACAGCCCCGGTCCGTTCGGTTCCAAACTACCCAACGGCCCCTCGTTCGGTAAATAGAAAATACCGAACAAGGGGATTCAGGCGAACCCTCCCTAGCCTCTATAGCTAGAGGCTTTCGTGTATTTTATTCCCTTATGCCAGGACCGACCGCAAGGCCCATTCACATGGAACCGAATTCGGCTAGCTCTGTTCGTGCGGTCGGTCATTTTATTCCCTCCATACTTTTCCCGAACCCCTGGTCCGATCTGGGTGATTTTTGGATATGCTGTTCACCCAGATCAGGGCTACCCGGGGATGTATGATTTAAAGGGGTACCCCTACGTTTAGGGGTACATCCAGAAATGGGGGGAATTGGTGTGCTGGCTAAGGGGATTATGATGCTAGCTGAGGGGAGGGGAGGTGTGGGAGGTTACCAGGACAGGATTGGCTACTGTAATAATTACTGTAAGTTCCTCCCTTGCATGGGAGCATGCTTTATAAGGAGACTGCGATTAAAGGCTTGTCAGTTATGCTCCTGAAACTGTGTGTCGTCCAGTTATTGGGATTGCTGTTGGGATATTGCCGTATTTTACCTGCTGGAAACCCTGCCTTTGGATTTACTATTTACTTGTTCCTGAGTCTCACTTGGATTATAACCGGAGAGAACCTGGGTAATATTGCATCTCCGCTACACATGTACCTCTGGTACATCATCCCTTTGATTAGTTTCCTTGAGGCCCAACAAGTGGCCATTACCAAAGATGCTAGTGGGTACACTTTCTGGTATAATTCATCATGTACCCACGTGGCTACATTCACCTTTGATTACTGTGATATTGTAGAATGCCCATTCCCTAAGTCACAGATTCAAGCCATTTATAAAGATATACCACAAGCAAAAGACCCTTACGTTTGTGTAGTAGATGAACAATGGGGTTATGACTGTAACTACTGGGGGGCTGCGGGATGGAATACTGGGCCTGCCTGGGGTTATAAACCCAAAAGTGCTTTATCTAAGATAGACAATCAGGGTAGATCCCTCCTTCAAAGAATGACTTTAAGAAAGCCTGGAGGAAGTACCCCTATGAAATTAATGTTAAATATTGAACATCCTGGCCCCGAGGATGCAGACCGATATGTAATGGGAATGTATTGGAAGAAAGGTTCCTACAACAAATTAGGTCATTTCTACCTCAGAGATATGTACCACTCTCCAGAGTGGCAAGGGGCTGATCATATGGTCCCAAATCCGCTAAAACCACATATCCAGTCCTTTAAAGATATGATGGCCATCACTAACCCCACTTTTGAAGATACCATGGCCGCTGAAACTGGATTCAATGACATTAATTTGTGGTTAGAATGGATGAGGTATAATGCCAACAAACATAATAAAACAGCATGTTATGTATGTGGCGGTGCCCGACCCCACCTTGGCACCGCCCCCCTAACTCTCCCTTTAGAGATAGAAGATTGCTTCTTAAGCCTTTTTGCCTACCAATATGACTTTAATAGGTCCCTCTGCATGGCATGGACGGCAGAATACCCTCTCTTAGTTGAAAATGTTAAGCCACCAGATGGAATCACAGTCTATAGAGGTAATTACACTTGTTATGCCATGTATGACGGGATTGGTAAATTCATGGGTAATTTTTCTAAAGGTTATTGTGCCACTTACAGAACTGTTCCTATACGCCTGTTGCAACACCATACCAGGTCATTGGGGGATATTTACTGGTTATGTGGGGATCTACAGTTAAGATCTAGGCTGGAAACTGAGTGGTGGGGTGAGTGTACCCTAGCCAAAGTTATCATGCCCATTCATATTATTTCTGATAATCATCATGACACATACGACCCTCCACATACACCAGCCAGAGTGAGGCGCGAAACCCCAGTAAAAGGCAGTTTTGACCCCCACATTTACATAGATGCCATTGGGGTACCTAGGGGGGTGCCTAATGAATTTAAAGCTAGAGATGAAGTAGCTGTAGGTTTTGAATCACTGTTCACTATAGTCACTGCCAACAAAAACCTTAATTGGATTAATTATATCTATTACAACCAACAGGCTTCGTGAACTACACCAGGGATGCCCTCCAGGGCTTGGCCGAGCAATTACAGGCCACATCCCAAATGACCTTCCAGAACAGACTGGCCTTAGACATGATCTTAGCCGAAAAAGGGGGGGTCTGTAAAATACTACCCGACACTATGACTTGTTGCACTTACATTCCAGAAAACACAGGTCCTAATGGTAAAGTCACTCTGGCCATAGATAAATTAAATAGACTCTCAGTAGAGTTAAAGAGAAACTCTGGAGTTACTGATCCCTGGGACAAATGGTTTGGTTGGATGACTGGTTGGCAGAGAGCTTTAGTCCAGATTGGTTTTGCCTTACTAATTTTTCTTTTTATTCTCGCTCTTCTCATTTGTTGTGTCCTCCCATGCCTAAGGAAATTCTTACAGAAGACTACAGACCAAGCGACACTAACTCTCACTCATCTGACAATCGATGATCAAGATCTCACCTCACCCTGTATTCCGCTACAAACTCTCCCTTATACTGATGAAGTGCAGAAAGTCCAGGAAGGGACAGTACAGGGACAGCGTCCGTCTTTATGGGTAGACTGCCGTACGGAGAAGTAGTGGATAAGCCACTATGGGTTACCAGTGGAGTGAAGAGTGTTCCTGAACCGTACTGACGGATGTGCTGCAGCCTGTTAGGGTCAAGAGAGGGATAGACTTGCACTTTGCATTAACACTAAGTCAGCGGTCATGGGGTTTCTGTGTCTTTGGGCTAACACATCTTCTGATACTAACAAATTAAGTTTTGTCTTTTAGCAAATAACATTTTAAGGGGGGACTGTTGTAGAATTATTAGGCCTCTATAAATCTGTAAGGCCCCTTTAAATCCTCTTGCTATACCTCTAAGAGGCCCCATAGTTTTACAAGAAAGCTTTGTCTATAGAATATAGAATTGGCATGTCAGCAAGAAATATTATACACCTGTAGTGTGAAACACTGTAGCATCCCACTTACAATGATAGCTTTGATAAAATGTGTATTTACTAAAAGCCTTGAAACCTAACCTTGAGAAACTAACAGTGCCAGGCTACACTCTAAATGGATAGCTGCCAAAAGGCCCCTCCCGTCGAGTGAGCTCCTCATGTTAACAAAATGGCGCTAAAACCTGGAGGAGACAATCATGACGAGGATAGTGACCTAAGATGGTACACCCCGTAGGGAGGGCATTTTACTAACTACTTAGCACCTAAGCCAATTAACAATGTCTATTTGTCTATATCTTGATTTTCTTCAATGATGTAATAATGCCTTTAAAAGGGCCTGCGAGCCTGCTTTTTAAACAGAAGCCATTAAACTTCTCCGAAGTTCTTTCATTAACCTGAACTCTGTGTCTCAGTGTGAATTTACTTCTGCAGGCACGCAACTTTATTATCTTTAATTTGGACAGGAACAGATAGTCATTCAAACTAATTGGTTTGCAGTAAATCATCTACTACAATTTTATTATTTTTATTTCTCCTTCTATGTATATGTTTCAGACCCTGTGTGAAATATTGCAAAATAAAGGTTAGCCCAAATTAATTAACAATAGAATGTGTGTAAATGTACACAATTCACATCACTTTGGTATCCCTGGACAGCAATCAACACCTGAAATTGCTGTTTTATCCGGGTTTACAGGCTATCTGTGCAAACTGTCTGATATAAATACTATGCTATTGTTTTTTCTAAATTTAATGTCAAGAGAGGTAAACTGGAAACAGTTTCTTAAAACAAATTATCCCTCTAGCTCAGCGACTTTGGATGTAAATTTTATATTAATTTTGTATTCTCACTTTAGTGAATAACAATATTAAAAAAAATGTTCTATATTATAGGCACTTACTACTTATTAATCTTGGCCAGACTGTGTGTCAGCATTAAAAATAGCTTGGCAAAAAATGATCTATAAAAATCAGAATAGAACCAGTTATTCATAGTTATCAGCTAATCTACTTCTGTACTTGTCAAGCCAGGAAATGATACAGTTGATAATAAGATATGCTTTCCTTCTTCAACACACCCACAAATGTGACTAGGGAACATTTAAAAACCATTAACAGTGAAATAATCATGAAGACGTTTTCTCTGATTTAGGTAAGAAAATTTAACAGAAATGTAATTTATGTCTATATATTGAATAGCAATTAAAGGATGAGGTTCCCATAAACTGATATAAAATAGATTTCAGAAACTTAAGTACAGAATTACCTTTGTAGTGGAGACTCACAATGTGTTCATATAATTTGTGCAAAATTTTTACACTGTACAATAAAATATTTATACAGTTCAATACAACAGATTATAAAGATAATCTAAATTAAGTGCACCTTTACAGATAACCACGAATAACAAATTTTAAGTCAGACAAAGACTGCCTAAGAATCATGTGAATTGCAGATCAAGAACAGCTGGGCAACTATGGACTGTGTACCATTTCTTTAAAATTCTGATTTAAAAAAAAAAATTATTTTGTTATTTTTCTTTGTCTTATGCTTTTTACGTATAATAATACATGATCTGACTTCCCACTACTGTATTTAATTTTTGCTTTATGGCTTACTAATCCATGTGTGCTCATTTAACTTCCCCGACACTCCAGCAATGGTCTTTCATTCCATTGAATTTTGCCCCATGCTTCAGTCATTCTGCATATTGCAGAGAGACTGTAAATGATTAAATAAATATGCACCACCTTCCTTGCTCCAGACTGGAGCCACTTGTGCTCTCTAATTAGCATTACAGTGCTACATTTTAGCAGCAGTAAGGAAGGAAGGTTAGGTTCTTAACGCATTGCAGCAAATATGTGTAGGCAACAACAGCATCATGTGATGTCCATTATAATAAAGATGCTTAATTATAGCCAGACATCTGTGGTTCATTCACAAAACTCTAAACTTTAGTAAATTTAAAAACAGACTGCAAAAATTATCCAACTCTGATACAGTCACAACATGACTTTTCAGTTTAAAATGTACACTTATGTTCTGTTATTAAATTTCAGAGTTCAGTTAGTAACCCTCTAAGTGCGTTTTCCCTAAATAAATTCTACTATCATTTTTGAGACTTGAATCCCTAAAATCCCTGCTGGCTTTTTTATAAAGGACATTAAATATGGTATTTGCTGATCTGCTTCAATGTCTTTGTCACCAACACTTTTAAAAACGTATCTGTGTTTTTCGTCTTCATACTTTGTAAACTATGTAAAGTATTCATGTAATTCCTAAACATTTTTTCCCAGGCTTGTGTGAGGACCAGCATCGATAGTCCACAGACTTGGGTGAACCAAGGGACCAAGTCCGAACCCCTTCTGGAGATCAGGTTGGTAGAAGCCGCCAGCTGCGTATGATCTTCCATGTGCCTGGGCGTTGCTGTGAGGCATACATGTGGCTCTCGGCCTAGGAGGGTATACATCAGGACAAGCAAGTTCCTGCTGCCAACTCCCGTTTCTCTGACCTCGCAGCCTGCATGCGTTCTTTGAGTTTCGCCCAGAAGCTCGGAAATATTGTGTCGAGTCATTGCGATGCATATTCCATGCAGCTGTAGGGAAGCTCTGGAGGTGGGCTCAGGCTCTGCTTCATAGATGGGCATGCAGTTGCTGTTTTGTGTTCTCTGTAGCCGAGGTGAGTGAAGTGCAGTCAGGCCAGGGCAACCAGCGGTAATCGAGTTAACTACCACCAGTCTGGGGGGGGAGAAGCAGCAAGACCGTGATCGAGCTTGGAGATCGGCCGCCTCTTCACAGCGCCGTCCACAGTAGGCCGCATCAGGTGTAACTAGGGCTGAATAAGCAGAAACAAAAGTGATTTAACTCCTAAATTGCAGAGGATTGAGCAGTGAGACTTCAGAATCATGATCTATACACCAAAACTGCTTCATGAAGCTAAAGTTGTTTGGTTGACTAAAGTGTCCCTTTAAATGGCCAACCTTTAAACACTGCTCTGTTTTACTAGCAAATTCTCTGGGTCCAAGTAATCAATAGAATCCCAAGTCTATTGCAGTCTTAATTATTAGGTTAGTATGAGACTCAAAAGGAAAAGAGTCAAGTAAATCAGATAATGAGTGAAATATATCACCATTTATAGGTAGTCGCTTATATTTGAGGTAGTCGGTATTTGAGGTGGACTAGTTTTCTGAATACCTTTCAGTAGGCTTTTAATTTGATATGATGGCATGAAAGCATGTTTATTTGGGTATTAGGTCAACATGAGATGTTGTATCCCAGTAAGGTACATTTTGATTGTGTTGTGTGAAAAGTGTTAACTAAGGTGGCAAAAAGCTGTAAAGGTTAACAAAGATTCCATTCAGAATAAATCGTGAATATGTAACTCTTCTGAAAATTTTGAATGGCCTGTTATATGACCGAATAGCATTTGCTGAAAGTGCTGCTTGCACTAGATGTCTGCTGTGATTAATAAGGCTGTTTAATCCATGATTAATTGGTGAAAGTTTGGGGTTTCTGTTACATGTCTTGAGGCTGTTGGGTGTGCTTGAAAAAATGCCTGAATGTTCAAAACAAGACAGTGCGTCAGCTACATTATTGTTGACTCCTGGTACATGTACACATATCAAATAAAACTGGTACTTTGCTGCTGACCAGGTCAATTGCCCCGTTGTCGTCCCCCCTGGATCCGCCACTGGCTCATGGCAAACTTAAGTAAGCCTAGCAGCAATTGTAGTTCCTCACGATTGCAGGAACCTTGTTAGATAAGAAAATGGATGTTATTAAGGATGGGAGAAATTTTCAGATTAAGC